ATATTAAAAATATAATATTATTTATTGCGAAATACTGAAATGTAATCAATATTTTTGATTATTAAAATGTAATAAATATTTTAATAAACAATGAAATAAAAGTTAAAATAACGTTGCGGTATCACGAATTTCCAATTCTAATTTACACATTAATCTGGGACACGTAGATGCCCACGTGGTAAAGAAACTGATCTCAGAAATCTACAACCTTGACACGTCAAGATACGACAAAGATGCTCGACAAAAGTAACCAAAGTGTTTCACACCATCGACACCAAACGCGTTAAAGTAATGTTAATCAAACAGTCGAGCATCCATCGCACGGGCGAATCCTTAGGAAAACCGCTTTAAGCGACCGCTAACGAGCCTCGGCCTTTTGACCTTCCTTTTAAAAAAATTGTCTCGCTAAATAGCTTCCCTCTATCAGCCCCGTCTTTGCTACATATTTTTATGGAGAGTCCGCGGAAGCAGACGACTCCCCGGGGAGGCGTTTTCGCGCCAAGTCGAAGGAAACAAAAAAAGGAAAAAGAAAAAAAGAAAATGGGAAGAAAAGAGAAATGGCAGAGGGAATGAGAGACAGTTGGTGCCTATAAGAGATCCGTTGAATAATTAATGCCAGGAGACGTATTCCGGGACGTCGCGGGCCGCGGCACGACGATTAACGAAGCGATTATTAAAATATGCAGAACGACCGTCCTAATTAGTCCGTCGACGAAACCGAGAACGGGTTTTGCTCGTCTCGTTGTGTGTCTTTTCTCAGCGGCAGGGGCCAAGGAACATCACGCTCGGGTCTAAGTTCCCCGACAGAAGGGGGCTGAGTTTTCTCATCCTCTCCCGTCGTTATAGTAAACTGTGGTTGAGAAAAAAATTTCAGAATTTCAGAATTTCCGACAGTAATAATATCGAAGATTACTCTTTTCTACAACTGTTTACTTGATAATTTCTCAATAATTTCAAGAAACCAACGAACCAATCAAAGGCCATTTTCGGCATGATCAATTCCTTCAAGATGTTTGCTCGATGTCCCAGTGTCCTCAGAAATTCACATTGCATGAATTGCGGATTCTTTAAACTCCTACAGAAGCTTGTGACTTGGCGAAAAAAAGAAAATTACACGACAAACTTTGAGGGATCTGTGTAAAAGACTTCGATCTTCGAGATCGTAGAATAGAAAGAAAATTCTTTCGGTTTAAATCTGCAAAACTTTCGAGAGAAACGGTACTATTTCTTTTAGAATGTAGTAAAAACGTTTTCAAAAAAGAACGCGACGCTGTAAGAGAAGTTTCGTGCTTTAAAACGAGACCATACAGTTGAATTGTTTTTCAATTTCCTTTTTTTCTTTACGAAGGTATAACATTCGAAAGTATTGACAATTTTTCATCGTTTACCACGTGTACACGAGACACGAGATTTTGGTCGATTTTTCTCCATTTTACGCTGCTTGATTACGTTCGATCGGCCTCTCTTTGTTCGTTCCGACCAAGATGAGAATTTTGGAATTACCAAGCAGTTCCTGCTGGATGGATTAATCGCGACGGTGGGCCGGATAGAGGATAACTGAAAGGTTAATGAGCGGCTCGATCGTGTACAACCGGCGGCGGAATCGAGCGGGATCTTGTTAAAATGCATGGCGACCTTCTCGTTGAGAAATTGTCTTACGGACCCTAAGAGACTTCCTGTCCCTCTCCGCCCTCCCCTTGGGAATTTGGAAATGTCCGTCCGCCACGGCGAATTCATTAGGTCGATGGACGTCGTCGTGATCTCGTTACCGAAATTGGATTTTTCGCTTATGACACTCTGACACGCGACCCGTTTCTTGCGACCAGGAGTCTTTGTGAAATATTCGGACGTTTTTTGGTGGTGGACTGTAGCGGATGAGGTAGCAGTAGCAGCTTGACAGGAGAGTTCTATGGATTTCGGAAAGAAAAGAAATTGCGCAGTTCGGTGTATTTACTTTATACATTTCACTGCACAATCTCTTTAACTCGAATTAAATTCAAATTTTCAATATTATACGTTATTGTCAATTTATTCTTGAAACATGGCGAGATATGTTGAGGATGGATGTTAAACTTAAAACGAATACTAGAAATTAATATTGAAAGAATAATAAAGAATGTTAACTGTGGTGTGAATATAAAATCTAAAAATTTAAAATTACTTTGGAATCGTAAATTGTCTCCTAGGGAGATAGTGAACAAATTCAAATTAATTTTTAGTTAATATTGCTTGAAATAATACTCGAATTAATAAATATATTTTGTATACTTGAATACTCGTTACTTGAATTAATAAACTTGAATTAATATCATTGTATTAATATTGACGTTTATTCATATTTAATTAAATTACAGAAAAGCTATTGAACTTTGATGAGAATAATTCTTTCCTTCGTGTGATCGCAATTCATTCCGAATTATTCACAATACGAAATTTTTCTTTTTTTTTTTTTATTCTTCTTCTTTACTTATTGAATCAGGTCAACCCTCATTTGAATACTTCCCGTAATAATTTTGACATGCAATCTGCATGTCTCGAAACGTAGAAGGAACGGAAGAAAAATGAAGGAGTGAATTTACCGTGTTATTTACATAACATTAAACGTTAATAAAGAGATATTACGTAGGAGAACCTCGAAGAGGATCCAAGAGAGAAATTTATTTCGATCGATTACAACTGCCACTGAAAATTTGTCGTCGAGATTACGTGAAACAAACTACATAACCTCTTTTATTTCTTCTTGTCCTCTCTCTCTCTCTCTCTCTCTCTCTCTCTCTCTCTTTCTCTTTCTCTTTCTCTTTCTCTCTATAAATTGGGTATAAATTCCTGCAGGTGGAATTATTTTTCTTTATTTTTCGTAACGAGTAAATCTTCCTGGTCGTATAATTATTTTCCCTCGCTACCGTAACAGCGCGATTTAAAATTCTAAAGAAGACATTCGGCGTCTTTATCTTATCCTAATTGCCTCGACTAATTAACTTCGTATCTCCGTGCTAATTAAAAAGTTCGCCTCTCTTTTGTTAACGAGACCGCCCTTAAAACCAGTTCCTCTCGAAAAAAGAGAGAAATAACAGCGAAATAAATAAATTCTTTTTCTTCTTTGAAATCTTTGGGATGCTAAATAAGGCCAGAAAATATGTGTACTGCATCTTTATTCTAGAAAGAATATATCACTCCCGAAACTTTTTTGGTATTTTCATGTCATAAGTGATTCGCGACGCTGAATTCGAATTAAATTATTTTAATCCGGCGAATATAAGAGATATAAAATTGAACGCTGTGAATTTTAACAATTTCATTTTAATTTTTCAATTTTTCAAACGTAAGTGAATATAAATTATAACCTAACAACACCTTTTAAATATATCCACAATTATTTAACGCAGTATCGCTTACAAGAAATTTCGTCCACAAGGGCGGCAACTATTTCCTATCCGAGTTAGTTGAGTAACTTCATTCAACTTTACTAATTTCCGCGCGGCGACGAAAGATACTGCTCGCTGTCGCAAATCTAGGCGGAAAAAACCCAGCGCAGGAACTGGAGAAATACCTAATTAATCAGCAAACTGATCAAAATTTCACGAGCGTGACTATTTTCTCTGGTTGTTTCGCCAACGCCGTATTCCCGATTGAATCCAGCGAAGGGGCTCGGGGCGGTGTTATTTACCGACGCGAGACTGCCGCCGCCGGAATCACGTTCATTTTACAGTCTATATAATCCCGAAGTTCCCCATTAAGTTCCTCATTTCCGTAGGCGTGTTTTATCGTTGGGTACATTAAAACTTTCGCCTTTAGCGGGAATTACGCCGCGATATAATGGCTCGTTAAAGCGAGCGGGCCGAAAAACTGGCGAGCGTCGACGATCGTCCTTTTAACAACAGAGAATTTTCGCCCGCCGGTTTTTCCTCGAACTGTTCGCGTTACGCGTCGCCGACGACCATACCGGACGAGCATCGACTCCCCGGTATTACGTAAACGTGAAGCAAGTTGATTTGAACGTCGTCGTTCTCTACGAAACGCCTGTAACCTCGCGACGCCGCGCCGATCGACAGAGAAATCTGTTACGTGAATTAAGTGGAACGCCAGAAAGGAGAGAAGTTGAGATGGTAAATACTGGTAAACTTGTTTGTTAACCGTCGCGGATGGAAAGTGACTCGTTTATTTTTCGACAACGTGGTTTATTTTTAGATCGTCGGTTTTCAGTCTCACGAGCGTGAAGATTAGATTATTGCATTTTAGATTTATATTTATCCTCGCGTCTCTAAATTTCTCGCAAATGCATTTATAATCTGATCATTTCAATTGTAAAGGAACGTGAGAATGTTGCTCGCAATCGCAGAAATGGAGCATTCCATATTCCGATCAGCCTTTGACAGTGTAATAAAGCAGTAAAGACGAGTCAAAAATTAATTATAATACGAGAAATTGATTTAATGGATTAAAAGGAATTTTAAATAATAATAAATTTATTTAAAAGAATTAAGATTACAATTGAATTTATTATAACAATAGAATTTAAGACAAAAGTTTGCATTGTTTCGAAAAATATTTTAAATAAAAATAATGATTTTGGGAATCATGGATGACAAAAAAAATTCTTTCGAAGTTACATAGTTTAATAAAAACGTACGTACTTTGAAAATTTTGTACGAAAAGAAAGTGCAAGTAAATTTCCTATTTGAACGAAGCGAGGTACTTTAAATAAAACAAAGTTAAAAAGAAAATTCCGACTTCTTTTACCAAAAATTACTCTCTGTAACAACAATTAGTTTCCTATAGCTCGAACAATTATAATTACTCACTCATTAAATGGCAAGCAATTGCTATTATCCACCAATCTACAGTCAATTGTCGAACACGGCTCATTATGCGAAATTCGATCAGTTTCTCGGGCTTAAGTGTCTACAGTTATCTGAATAGAGTGTGCTGTATTCTTGTGATCACGTTTCGTTTGTCCAAGAGTCAAGATTCACGCTTATGTTTGCCCATTGTTTCCGCAGATGACTGCCCGAACTGCGTGGACGAGCACAGCAGCAGCCTGGCCGCGTCAAGATGGACGATGCCGTTGTTGAAGCTCGGCGAGAAGAGATACTACCTGGGGATCTTCTTCAAGGTATCACCGCCAGTCACTTTGATTTATCTAGCTGCTACCGGCGGACGCGACCTGCCGGACATCATTGAATTATTTCCGTACCCGTAACCTTTCCTCCCCGACGTCTTGCGCCGAGACGCTTCGCTCGTTATCGATCTGTTCGGCCAAACGCGACCGCCTCATGCACGCGTGTATGCTTTGTATCGTCGCGACGGGAAGAGAACACGGGAAACCGATCTCGTTGATGACGATCTTCGTGGACTCGCAACGACTCTGCCTTTGTCAAGTAGATCGTGTCGATAGGCGGATAGTTCTCTGGTCGAGTTCGAGCATGAGCACGTACATACGTTCATCGATCGAGAGAGAGAGAGAGAGAGAGAGAAAAGAAGCGTGTTTGCATCTCTGGATTATATATGGATATAGTATTTTATCGTTTCCGAGACGATGGACTCGCAAGTGCAGCAGACTCTTGTTTATTGAAATTTTGAAATGTCTGGAGAGAGGAATTGTAGACTTTTCTTTCATTGAAATTCCCAATAACGGCTACATTTGATAAATTTGAGAGAAAAATTATTACTAATTATTATTAATAGTTCGCTGGATTTATTGTAAACGAGAATTAACAAAAGGATAATATAGAACTATAATTGGAGGAGAGACAGGATTAAAAGGAAAGAATTTGGCAGATCTCTTACAGGGAGAGTTTAAGATAGGAAAATTTCTCTTCCAGAAGAGAATAGTTGTATTTATTTTTAAAATACATACGTAAATTCTTATTTTATACTATATATATATAAAAGTTAAGGTAGGAGTTTAAGGTAGGAAGATCTCTCTTCTAGAAAAGAATAGTTGTATTTAATTTTAAAATACATACGTAAATTCTTATTTTATTCAATATATATTTATATATTTATATATTTATATATCCATACGTACGTACACATATGTTATCTTATTATCTTTATAAATTTTGTTATCTTATCTTATAGCATATAAATGACATTCTTGTTTATCTATTTAATCAGTTTAATGATTAAATATTGTATGCACAAGTTTAGAGATCGACATTGTCAATTTTCTAAAAAAAGAACAAAATAGGAAGAATCCACAAATATCTTTTAATTGAAAGTTAAAATACTTTTACGAATATAGTTAAAATACTTTAACAAATACTAAAAAAACAAGGGGAGCATTGTGATTGTTATATTGAAGGAGAGAAAATTTTTCATTGAAAAAACTCCCAATAGGTATTTTTACACTTGCGTTTACTGGTTTCACACCACCGCTACGATGATCTCGCTTTAACTCGATTCGATCGCACATCCCAAATCTTCAACGACCGATTCCCTCGCTGCTTGACACACAATTTCACCACCCATCCCATCGCCTTAAAACAGGAACAGCGTCGTCTCGTCGACGATCGATGTCTGAAAGTGCCATTAACCCATTTATTACGTATTCGTGTCTAGTTTAAATCCGTCACCCACTTTATCACGCTTTTCCCTCTAACCTAGACCCCTTGTAGAGCTCTCAGCTCGCGACCGCGAATTCCCTGGAAAGTAAAATCGTCGACGTGTCGCTCAACCCTCGAAGAGAACCATGGGCGAGCATGTCTGCTGAAAAATGTTTATCCAGTCTGAGCACTCACTCTCATCAACGTTTTGATTTTAGGTGATACCAATGAAAATTTAATTTCATTATTGGAAATGTTGAATCAATCATTTGGTCAGGTATTAAAGTCTCGTTTTTTCTTTCTTAACTTTTTTACAATAAAGTATATTCGTTTCGAATATTCATTCTTTGGATATTTGCAGCATCTGTTGATAACGTGGGAACTTTTTTTATCACTCTTGTGTTTTAGAAATGATTCATCAAGGAATAGCCTCGATGTACGTATTATTTCCATTTACATTCAGCTTGTCTTTCGCATGGATTTTGATATTTCTGACTGTCATCAAATATTCTACATCTAAATGGAAATTATACTATACTAATTATACTATGCTAATTATACTATCCTATATTATAATAAATGTTACCGTAAATGTCTCGAATGTATTCTGTATACTCTCTACTCTTTCAAATATTCAATATACTGTAACATATTTCACGCATCCTCGAGTTTCCCATAAAAATCTATTATTATAATATCCCATAAAAGTTTATTATTCGTATTTTTGTAGTTATAAATAAAATTATAAATACTATTATAATTATACATAATATAATAAACAATATTATAAACAATTCATTGTGATCAAGTCTCTACTTACATTCAATCCATATTCTTGTCTCTATTTGAATATTATACATTAAATAGAGTAGAGACATAATTGTCTCTACTTTGACAGTAATGAGCATCATCTACATAGACTGCTCAGTTGAGGGCCAAGTGCTCCAAGAGTTAAGCCCCACGATGTGTTTTCGAATTATTTACCAAGCAAACATGAAGATTCATGCAACCGAAATTGATCGACTGATCCAACAACTCTCTCTCTCTCTCTCTCTCTCTCTCTCTCTCTCTGGACCGTTGTGCCGCTCCACAAGTCGAGTCACTCACTTTCCTTCGGCTGGCGCGTAAACGGAACCGCATTATTAAAACGGATTTTGTAACGGGCCGACGTCGGTGTCCGGTCCACGGCCTTGCAACCGTCTGTCTGGAAAGGTGGGTGGAAGTGACGTAAAGCGTTCGTTCGGCGATAAATGACGGTGTTTCGCAACGGAGTCAAGGAGTGCCCCGGTCGATCCTTCCTGTAATCGGATTAACCGAACGAACGTCCTTCTGAAACTGTTCGCCTTTTGTTTCGCCAGCAAACAACGACCGGTGTCTGTTCGTTGTTGCGCGAGTAAATCTTTGGTCAGACCACCGGCCAGTGGAAATATGGCCTCGATTATTATTTCAACGTTTCACCTGTCGCGCAGAGTATTTGGCTCGATGTCCGTTTCGTCGTTGGTTGAATATATTCAGCGAGAATCGCGAGGGATCGTGATTATTCATTTGTTCAGATTGGATTTCTTGAATACTGCGAAGGCTGTTTAATTTTTGAAAATTACCAAATTAAATTACCAATGAAATAAAAATGTTCGCATTATGATATATTTGTAGAAATATTCGTGGGCAATATTCGATATATTTAGAGCGTATCACTTTTTTTCTAAAAGAAAGATGAATGTCTGATTATTTATTCCAATTTTCATCTCGATGCAAACTTAAATCACATGGTGATAAATCTGTTCCCAGGCGCGTTATAAATTCCAAAGTGGGAATTAAGAAATTCTGCACGTTTGTTTTGCTCTCTTTTGACAAAAAAAAAAAAAAAAGTTTGAAACACTCTCTATCCTTCCTGTTACAGTTCCGAGAACATTACAATCACAATTCTCTTTTAAATATAATTAATTAAAAAGAATTATAAAATTTTGCGCATCGGTAATTTATGCATAACACAAACCTGTTTCTTGTTCATGCTGTAATTCAATTCGAAATCAACTCTTAAAACGAATGCAAAATTTTTTTTTATAACAGCTATCGAGAAGCAAATAATAATAAATGAAAATTCCACAAAATACTGGTTTAAAAAACTGCTTCAAATAATGGTGAGAGTAGAGATTTAAGAATTTAAGAAATGTTAATTTTTCGAAAAATTGTTTCAGCTAGTTTATTTCAATTCAAATTATTCAACATGGGTATTTAGTTAAAGCGTTGAATTATTCGCAACCGTTTGTCCCCCGTTTCTTTCCGTTGTAGGCGCATCAGTCGGGTAAAACAAACAGGCGAAATCTCTCTCGAAGCGCGGGGGAACAAGAGATGGTCATTCTGCCGGACGTGAACAAGACACAACGTAATATTAGGGAACGAAATATGCAAATGTCGTGGACCGGTGTGTTTCTTTGCGCTTCCCGTATCGCGCGTAAAATACGGGAATGCTTGTCGCGCGGTCATTTGCCAGGCGTAATGGAGCCGGCCGGCGAAATTTATGCGGCTTTGCTCTCGCGTTTTTGGGCTCGTACTTTCGCGCTGGAGCGTGGCACGCGAAACTCCGGGAGAAAAGTGACGAGCAACAACGAAAAGCCGGAAAGACAATTTTTGAATGAATTTCGTTCGCGTAACGTGAAATGACCGAATTCGACGAACTTCAGTCGAATTTCGATGAAATGTTTCGTGGGAGATCGTACACCACCCATAGTGGCATAATTTTAATTTTGTTTTGTTTAATTTTGTTAATGTATGTTTCTCCAAATGCTGAAGTACGAGGGAAAGAGTTGTTTCAAGTTTCAAAAGATTATTCGTAAATGTTCAATCTAATGAAAATCTCTTTTTAACTGTAATTTTCATTTTTACACATCGTATGATTTTTTTATTGTTCCCTAGCGAGGGAATTTTTTTTTTTTAAATAAATAGAATATCAATATCAATAAAATATCGTAGTATATTCTATTATCATTGTGGAATATTGTTAATAGAATTATTGAACAATTATTTGGAATTAATTATAATATAAAATAGTAAAATCTCGCTACGAAACAATACAAGCTTCACTTTATTATTTCATCATTAATTCCACGAGTAATGGAATTTCTATCCGTGTCATACTCCACTCCATCTTTTGTGTATATAAAAAAATTCGACAAACGTTGAAACAACTTTGGAATTAGCGAGTAAAATGGAATGAAAATGAGGAACGATCGAACGTTTAAATAGACTTAAACACGGCGTTCGTTCTTTTCCTTTCTTTCTTTTTTTTTTTTTTTTTTCCTTTTTTTTTTTTTTTGCGTGAAAATAATGAACAACGAACGTACATATACGTGCATACTCGCCGGAATTGAGAAGCACTCGA